CCTCGAGCTTGTTGGCAAGGTGAGGCAAGCGCATGTGGTCTGTGACCGGGAGGAGTAGCGCAAGGTCCTGCTTGCCGGCTTGCTTGGCAGCCTCAGAGATGAACGATTTGGTAAGCAGTACGATCCCACCTCGATTGGGGGCCAACTGTAACCGATGCGTCTGTTGCATTGCATGCCTCCAAGGGTCGCTGACCCAGACAGAATCAACTCCTTTGGCAGCTGAAGAGGAGGCAGCCGGTTTTCCAGCTGTAGCAGCGGCCGCCGAGCCAGCCTGAGGTCTAGGGCGGTTCTGACCTGGGTCCATGGTGACGTCGATAGCTCCGGCAGCTAGCACATGGTCTGGAAATCTGTTGGTCTTGACCCGAAGTAGGAACCAATCACGGATATTGGCTGCAAAGATGACAAAGTCAGGCAAACCTTCTGCTCTCATCCATGCGCGGCGGGCTTCCAATCTGACCCGGTCAATGAGCCGTCCATGAAGCCCTTGAGAAAGCATCTGATCACGCACATCAAGTGGTGGCGAGCGCAAACCCAGACGGTAGAAGATGTTGGCCAGCAGGTAGTAGCCGCAGAGGTCGCGCGGCATGGTCTGGTCGACAAAGTCAATGGGAATGCTGTCGCGGTCAAGACCAATATCGTCCATGAGCAATTGGATGAGAGGGACATAGCTGCCTCTTTGCTGGATAGGAACAGACGCAAGGAATCTCGAACGGTCTCCCTGCCTGTAGCATTCAAACTGCAACCAATGGTTGTTGTGGATCACGAACCAAATGATGTGAGTGTACGCGCCATACTCAGGAAGCAGGTTGTGCGGAGCGCAGAAAAGCGTAGCCGGTTGGATGGAGAAGTCCATCTCATCGGTGGCCATCCAACCACTGTAGCGGAGCATGTGCTGCAGCCGCGCTTCAATGCGGCGACTTGCAATTTCCTCTGGTGTCAAGGGAGGGGCAGGCGCTGCTGATGAAAGGGGACGTTGCCGTACAGGAAAGGCTGCAATGAGTGCTTTCTGAGGTACTGGATCTTGCTGAGATTCTCGTCTTGCAAGGAAGATAAGGAATTTCTTCCGCAACCGAGTGGCCAGCTGGATCAAAGGTGGAGGAGCAGAGTAAGATCGCCAATCTTCAACAGAGCACTCAAGTGTGAGGTGGATGATGTCACGAAAGTGGTCTGCAACTCCATGAAAGGCCTCATCTTGGAACTCATCAACTAGGTCAAACCACATGATCCACCGATGGACAAGGCGCCACCCACAAAGGTGAAGGAGGTGCTGATAATGGACACTGGATGCAGTCAATCGATGAGGTGCGATGTCAAGTAGCCTCGCAACAACAAAGGTGGCTGCAGTGTGGAGATGGAGAGGCGTCTGCACAAAGGTCAAATGGGCCGAGTCGCCACTTCTGTGAATTTCAATTGCCGCCCAACGATCGTCAATCTGGACGCAGATCACATTGATGGTATTGTTGAAGAGCGCAATTTCACCAAACGGGGAGAGAGTGAACTCACCATCCCTCATTCCAGCACACCGGTGCAGTGAATCTCGCTTGGTCTTGCATGAACATAATGTTTTTTGCGTGATGCTCCACAGTTATCTGCAGCAATCCAGCCATGCGTGGCGCACATGTATTCGGTCCGAGCTTGAAAATCAGCACCAGCATCAAGAGTAGGTGTAGCCCCTGAAGCGAGATGGTGCCCACCAGCTTTGATCTGTGAGGATCTCTCAAGGTGAAGCAAAGTACCATTCAGCAAAGGTCCAGTGCGCTGCAAGGCTGAGATCCCATCGATTTGATGGACATGGAAGATCAATCCCTGAAGCTCGAACACAGGCTTGAACTCGAATTGACGAGCGCACGCATCACATGGTAGTGTGGTGGGACAACAACAGCAACTGAGAGCTTGTGCGGCGCCACCGAGCATGGGAAAATATGCACAATCTTGGATGCATTCACCTTAGGATTGCAGGAATCAAACGGCGATGTGATCGACAGTCGCTCACCATCTGCTAGATGACCTCGGAGGAGAGAGACAAGTTGCTCGAAGTGGTAGACAGAGGTGAGGCAAGACAACGCTCCTGGTAATCCGTGATGGACAAGATGAAGCATAATGTCCTGTTGGTCATGGTCAAGTCCAGCTGCTTTGACTCAATCAAGAATGGTGCCAAACAGAGGCTGCAGGCAAAACTCCGCAAGGTTGCCAGGCAATGGAAGCACAATCTTGGCGTCATCATTGACACGCAAATCCAGCGTGGGCGAAAGATGATCTGGCATGTGATTGTGTGATTGCTATACGATCCACGCTGAGGTTGCAGCTGAAATGTGCACTCGCCCAGACCAAAAAATCCTATTGCTAACTGCCAATGGTCACTGATGGCTGTGAGTTCCTGCACTGTTGTAGCTAATGGCCGTTCACACAGCTGACGTTTCAGGCAGCATTGCTATATCCTTAGTGGACAGCCAACGAGCAATGTGATCACCCGGACACAGGTGAACGAAAGGCCCACGCTCGAAAAGGACAGCATTGTGAGCTGTCAGCCTGTGCTCCCATGCTTGTCGCATAATAGCAATGGGGTCAATTGCTTCCGGCAGAACAGCGTGCAATCCAACACATAAACAAATGATGCTTTGCGGGACAGTGATAGCATTTCCGATGACTCGGAATGCCAGGGACAGCTTGCTTGGCATGACGATACTGGAGGTAGCACCGAACAAGGAGCAAAAAAGGGCAGGATCGAAGAAGGCAAAGCCCTCAGCGGTTTGCTTCAAGAAGGCGAAAATACCTTTCTGACAAACATGGTCAGCTGAAAGCAAACGCTGTGCACTGTACGATGCGCAAAGTGTGGCGAGTGGTTCCGCCGGGTTGGGCACTCTCGAAAGAAGTCCAGCATCCGTCTTTGCTCGCTGTCCAAGTTTCATGCGTTTGGCTGGCGGGAGCAACCCAGGGTCATTGATTCTTCCATACTGCTGGCAACACAAACTTATAGCAATCACTACTCCAAGAAGGCACACGAGGGGCAATGGAGCATGGCAGCTCGAAGCCCAAGGGTTGCGCTGGGACGTCAGCGCGAACCCAAATGCATAGCCAGCGGGACCTATGGTGGTTGCTGAGTTCATGGAAGGGCATGACCTGCGTCCAGAGGGTTTTGTACCCAAAAACCGAAGCTACAAACCGTACAATCGGAAAATGAGCATGATTCCGAATTTCGTCTGCACATTCGGCGAAGGCAAGGATTGGTTGCAGGATAAAAAAATGCACTCAAGCAATGAAGCTCCATCCATTGGCCTCGGACAAACCACCAGCTCTTCCTCCCCTCGACCAAGTCTGGCAGGGGGGAGATAACGTGCGCAGCAAGTTGAGTTGCGACCGATGCACGAAAGGGATGGTACGGTCGGCAATGTCTCCAAGGATCCCAATCTTGGTTGCAGGGCCTCAAGGTGCTGAGGCTTCCAGCGGGCACTTCAAAATCTTCATGCCATTCTGAGTGGCACATACGTCCATGGTGATGACATTGTCGATGAAGATCTGTCTGCCTGGAAGGAATCCAACTCCTGCGTTGGGAATCCATTCCACAGCTTGGTGCCAACCGCAAAAAGAGCCGCTGAACATGTGCGTGCAGTCCCACGCAAATGTTGCATCGAAGTCCGGGCGAAAGTGCACTGCGCACTGCCTGCTGAACTTGAAGATCGGGGCTTTCGTGTCCTCAAGGAGAGGTCCAAAGCACATCAAATGCACACCAGCAGCAACCGAATTGGAGCGAGTCTCAAGGTCTGGAATGTGGATCCAAACCTTTGCAGGAACATCATGTGACTTCACGAAACCACGTCCAGGGCAGAACATGAAGGGTGCAAGCTCGAGTCCATCATAACCAAATTGGATTGCCTCGCCCACAATGCACCCGCACCCCCCAACATCCTAGGGAAGGGGGCCGAGTGCACTTCCAGCAACAGAGAGCGGATCTCATTGCGCGTGGAGCCTTGCAGAACCTGGTCGGCCAGCTCCATCACGTCAGCGAAGGTCATGGCGTGGGTAGCAAAGACGGGCACGTAAACCTAAGGCCACGAAAGCGAAGGGAGCCTGGACTCGATGAAGGGAGCCTGGACTCGATCCAGGCCTCTTGGACGCCGGTCGGCGTGCGAGCGCCCAGCCGGCCCTGGGCCCCTGACAGCCCGAGCGTAAGGGCCTTTGAGCCCAGCGGCTAGCATATGTATATATATATATATGTATACTATATCACATAACAACGTGGCTGGAGGGGCGTTCCTTCTCTGTGTGATGTTGTCCATGGTCTGTGGGATCTCTTTTTCCAGGGCTGCGGTGGTTCAGAAGTTTGCCGATGAGGGTAGGAGAGGAGAGGAGGGGAGGAGGGAAGAGGAAACAGGGAAGAAGGAATGCTTAAAATTTTACCCGGGCGTCCCACAGAAAGATGCATGTTTGCTACCGGCGATCTTGAAAGAGGTCGGCGGGTCACACAATTCATGCGTCTTGCAGCACTTCCACAACGCAAGCCTCAAAAAACAGTAAAGGAAACAGGAAACACTTAAGCTGAAGCCAAAAAAGGCCTGAGGCAGGAGTGAACAGGTGGAACAAAAAAATATTTCTCCAAGTAATCACAGACCGAAACGGATCAAAACAAGACCTTCGGCAGGGCAGCTTGCATTTGTTGTGTTGTCCTCTGCGGGTTTTAACATGCAAAAGGAGCACCGCTTAGGCAGTGAGGAAATAACCCACCCAAAGCCACAAAGGCCACCAAAAGCTGCAAAAGCCACGAGAAGGCCCTGTGGCAAAAGAACCTACAAACCATGGAAAAAGAATCCCATAACAATATATAAAGGTGTTCCTGTGTTAGAGAGGGAGAGACACAACTCTTGCGCTCGTAGGGATTCGCTGTCACTAACAGGTCCCTGTCAAAAATTGGCTTATTATTGATGTCATTGGTGTCTCGGGGTGCCAATCCCAAACTCTACATTCTCACGCTTCATCACTAGAAGCTGCAAACAAGGTTGTGCCTCCTCTCGGTGGGGCCACTTTGGATCCCCATGTTTGACCTGGGACAGGCAGTTTCACTTTCGTCAAGGAAGAAGTAGTACCCTGGAGAACGCCCTGTGAAGAGCAGAATACCAACTACGGCCTTGGGTGTTGTAAAAGCAAGAGGTCTCAAGTAATGGTTCCCTAATTGGTTGATTGTCCCCACAATTTGGTATGCCTTGCTGCATGTTGCCATGCCCTTTTTGGTCACAGCAAAACCACTTAAGAATGCCTCGCTATGCGTCACTGGTTCACAGCACACCAGAGTACAGAACGGACCAAGGTCAAAATCAAAAACTAACCAGTGCCTTGGCCAAAAACCAACTGACAAAACGGCCATACTAATTAACTTTGTCATGCAGTCTCCTATTGACGACCTGCATGGGCATCCGCACTTGATGACCACCAGCTGCTTCTACTTCCAGGATTTAGCCACTCATCAGCCTTCAGCTGATAGACAGAAGTTGATAAGTTTGGATGCCAGAATATCTTGCAGGACAAGACTTGTACATTGTGCTTCTCATCAAACCTAGGGTGATAGTCATAATTCGGGTCTATCCTATTACCTGTAACAGTGCATGATGATGGTTAGTAAAGGCCTTGCCCCAAAATAGTGATAATTGTTTACTGACTGTCATAATAGCATTGCTGTGCGAATCAACTTTGAACCATGCAAAATGCCAAAAGAGCCCCAGCACCGTCAAGGTTCACTGTCCAAATGGAACAAAAACACACGGCAATAAGCAATAAGAGGGATGTGACAGAAAACGATTAACATCCTGTACTACAAGACTTGTCTGCAAAGAATGTCTGACAGGCATGTCTGTCGAAAGGAGCAATGCTATCTTTGATCTTGGATCTTGATGGACCCAGTGTATCTAATGCCACGCGAACTGTTGATCTATTTCTTCTGTTCATCTGTGAACCACACACCTCACACCCAGCCGGATGTCCTGATTTCGATGCACTCGCGACACCTGCCATCCACCCAAGAGCCGTGGCCGCTTGCCTGGAGATGCAAAGTTACATGCATCGGCGACAATTATGATCGTGTCTTAAGCTGCAACAACTGAAATGTGCCGAAGAATTGTTTCTCAGAGTGCTTTCAAACGTGTGTTTTCATGCACATCATATCCCCCAAAAGACTTCGGCTCCAAACGCATTTCAAGTTCGGCTGACCGTTGGAGTCTTGGTTTTGGTCTCAGCCTCCACTAGTGGCTAGCCGCTGTGCCGCAAAGATCAAAGGCGCTGGAGACTGCAAGGCCGGATATTGTGGATGCATTCTGCCAGGACAGATTCAACTACTAGTTACTAATTTGTAATTGCTCCCTGTGTTTTTGGTTTACTTGTAGAGTGGATTGGCCACTGCTAGAGGTTTCATGAGTTGATGTTCAAGAAACGTCTGATGCGAGATTGAGCGGTGCAACCTTGTGACCTGACCTGCACAAGCTCTAAAGGTCTGTCAAAGCATGGCAAAAATAAACCTTGCACTGCGACACTCAACCGTAAAGCCAATTGTCTGCGCTGATGCTAATTTTCCTTTCACCCAGGACCCAGTTCTGAATTTCAAATATTTTACAGTTCATATGAATCTCTCTTATTCATCCTTGGAAGAGTTAGTTCCAAGCACCAGTGCCTTACCTCACGCAAAGCAAAACAAATGCTAGCTGCTAAGGTACTCAACAGGAGCGTACAAATACATCTTTGTGCAGACCAGACTATATTAGTTTCGCGTCACAGGATGGACTCTATATCAGTCAGTCTTCCCACTCCTTCATGAGACAACGACGTTGAAGCTCCAAGAAGGAAGTTTCCTCATCTGCATCAGCCTTCCGAGCGCACGTGTACAGTATACATATCGAGCATCAGCCTTTCTAACGCATCTGCTAGCAGTCAAAGGATCTGTGGATGGGCCCGTGACAAGTGTACCACCCTGTGTTCAATCTTAGTTTCCCTAAAAAATCTAGGAAACAAGTGCGCGCGCTTCTTCGAGGAAACCCACAGCTTTCTTGACGAAGCGTGAGCTATCCTGCGTCCATATGTAGTAGCTTCCTATTGCCAGTAGCTGACTCCCTTACTTAATCAAGTAGGCGCATACTTAATTAAGTAAGGAGGCAGGGCCACGTGCTTTAAGATAAAGATCTGCAAATTTGTGGGTCCATGGTCCATGGACCTCCCACTACACTGGCGCCCCACACCTCTCCATGTCCGCCAAGTCCAGTCACGAAGACCAGAGTCACCAGACGTGTTGTCGCCTTTCAAGAGACGGAGTACATCTGTGCAGTGCGATTTCTACGGTGGGATGTACTAATATAATCTAATATAGGGTAAATAGGATACTAAATGAAGAGGACAGGGGTAGCAAAGGCGACGGTGAAGACCTTTCAGCGGAGTAGAATAAAGGTTTCAACTGCGTACCTTCACAAGCGCCCACCAGGTCTGAGACAAGTTCCAAACGGCCTTGGTGCATCTCAGCTTGTTCTCTCTTTTTCTTAGCCCCAGGCCCCGCCTCCCTATGGAAGAGCAAGGAGGGTAGGAGGCAGATAGCTCACGCTCACACTATTCATTTGCTTCCTAGATTTCTTGAGAGTTCCACGTCGGCAACATCGTAAGGGCTGTCAGCAAAAGCCGCCACCAGGAAACCTTCCAGAAGCAACTCAGGCATGAGCAAAGCAAAGGTTGTCGGAATTCCGTTAAAGTTATCGTGCTGTTGATCAACCTCTTGCAGTCTGTTGCATGTGAGGGGAAGACTCCTGTTCACCTTTCTCTACTAACATCTGTTGTAGTCACCGCACAGAAGCTTGCCTGGACTGACTATCCCAGTAGAACCTGGACCGTCAGGATCCTGAAGTCCAACATCTTTCCAGTATTCTTCATGAAGCGTTGCATAATCTTTGTGCTTGCAAACCATTCTGGAGCAAGAGAACCAAGTTGCAGGCTATCCCAGCTATGCAGAAATCGGGAGGAAAGACCGATGCTGCACCTGTTTTGGCGGCTGCCATAAACATGTGTTGCGCATCATTGTGGCAAACTCAGAAATAATCCTGCGTTCTCAAAACACCCTGACCTTCTCAACTATCAAAAACCGCTGACCCTTACTGTAAATTGTGGGATCCTCACACAAATAGGGCATGAAGGCTCATAGAAAAGATCGTTCAAGTGCACAAGTCCCATGTGAAGCTGAGCATCCCACTGGCAGATCCTTCAAACTCCACCACTGCCAATTTTCGTGCATCGACTTCTTCGGGAAGCATCTGCCAAGATCGTTCTATTTTAACACAAATTTATAAATTTCTTGTTTGTCCAAGCACCGATGGCAGCCCTCGACTCCTCGCCTCCCAAACTTGGCTGCTTGCAGCATGAGCAGTTCTGACCCGACCGACCTGAGCGGCCAAAGGCAAACGAGGAGCTACTAGTAGCGTCCTTGCTCCTAGTAGTAAGGCCAGGAGCCCCTAGTAGCGTTCTTGTTACTACTAGTAAGGCACTTGTTACTAGAAGCGATGCACTTGTTACTAGTAGCATCCTTGTTCCTAGTAGTACGGCCAGGAGCCCCTAGTAGCGTCCTTTTAGCAGGCTCGGTGAGGCTCAAGCAAGGGTAAGTCAAGTATATAAGTAGCTACTGACAAGTAGCTTCTTAGGCGCCAGGACGACGCAGAAGGGCTCCGGCTTAATGATGTGTTTCCTTTTTTGAAGTATCTGTTTGTCTTTGCATGAATTGACGACCATAATCACCCGAGATCTGAGGACAAGGGGCGACAACCAAAGTGTGCGCTGAATAATGAACAATTGCAAAATAATAGTAATACAGTAATAATAGTGTTATTAACAACAATAATGTATACGTTATTTTGGTACAGCTGGCCTCGTGTAGGAACCGCTGACGGCACTGTGCCCTGGGACACGACGTGGATGGATGCCAAAGAACGCATTAAAACAGTATAAAGCGGTGCTCTCGCAGTCCACACCTACAGAAGATACGTCTACGAACCAAATGCCAACAACATGTCGGGACGACCACCACTCTTCGTAGTCTCCACCACCTGCACCTTTCCACCATTGCCGCTCTTCCCGAGCATCAACACCTTTGAATATGTCTTCAAAAATCTTCATATTCTGAGCTGCTTGAACAGTCTTCAGTGATATGGCGCACCTTGAAAGGGACGAGGGGCATCAATGTTATAGCCATCGTAGCCTCTAGTGGGCCCATAGCCACCAGAAGGAGCCCTACACCCTCCACTGCAGCCACCACAGCTGCCGCCGCAACCGCCACAGCCTCCACAACCTCCGCAACCTCCACAGCCTCCATAGCCACAGCCATAGCCACCGCAGCCTCCATGCCCACCACCAGCGTGCAAGCTGTTGAATCCTCCAAAGTTTCCAGAATAACCAGATGGCTTGCAACCTGCGCTCACAGCTCCACAACCACAGGGAACAGGACCTGGTCTGCCTGCCAGACCCAGCATCCTGCCAGGCCGAAGCTGAAATTGCGGATCCACAAATGCAGGAGTCTAGAACAATTGTTGTGATCGCAATGGAAAGTGCTTAAAGGCTTAAAGAACATTTGGACAGGCTGCTGAAATGACAAACTGCCCCTCATTGCTGGCATGGCAGGTGCCCCAATTGCCAAAACAAATCCCACGCGACGCGAGAAAACTGAGAACATGAGAAGCCCACTCGCTTTTGAGAAACCCACCCTAGCGCCTATCGCCTTGCCTTCGAGATGGGAAACCCCGAGAAAAAGAAGGAATTCATGAGAAAACCGCAAATCGATTGGTGACGCATTCCGCAGTTGTTGCTTTTGCGGCTTTTATTCTGGTGTGCGGGGGCGTTCAAAGCAGCCAGCGTCCTTTTCCATGTGATGCTATTGCCAAGAAAATATGATTTGTTTATGTTGATTGTTTTTTTGCGTTGTTTGATTTGTCAACCTTCAACTTCTCCAGTTAGAAAGAGGGATGCAACCAACTTCTGGGCTAGACTTTTGAATTTTCGAGCCAAGGCGTGAAATTGACCAACGCTGAGTACTTGCCCCCGTCAGTGTGACTATGGAGCACATCTTTCCAAATGGACACTGCCAAGAGGAACAGGTCACCTATACATGGAAGTAACCTGCAAAATTGACGACTTGCTGTCTCATCAAACAAATCTGGCCGGTGTGTTTCCACTGAAATCGTTCCACCACTAGATGAGTGCAGTGAGCCAAGCGGCCCCAGAGACCGGCAAAACCGAGGAAACCGGAGACTAAGATAACGGGCAAAATCCGTGTTCTTTTGTTTGATGCAAGAAGTGCTCCTAGTAGCGTCCTTGCAGCCCCTAGTAGCGTCCTTGCTCCTAGTAGTAAGGCCAGGAGTCCCTAGTAGCTGCTTTCTCGAGGGAGAACCACCAAATCACCACCGTCCACGCGTTGTCCATGCGTTTACGAGAAAACAGTCTTGCCACCCAACGACAGAGCGGTAATTGAATCTCCCGTTTTCGCTCGCCGGAGGCCGGCTCCACGTGACCAAAACAACGTTTGTAACCCCTGTTCAATTGATGGATACATATTCCTACCGACAAGGGTCCTCTGCCCAGCCGATGCTTCAGGTGCAAAATCCTCCAAACGATGGTTCTCTGGACCATCTCTCACATCAGCCCATCTCTCTTGCCTCAGAATCTGACTGCATGTTGCTCAAGCAGGTGAACAAACTCATGATTCATGACTGAAAACAGAGTGGGCCTTTGTCTAGAGCCGCCCACAGTACCAGGTGTAGATGGCTGCTGGGCGCTGGGAGTGCCTGCAAATGAGCAGTATGCTTATCTTAATCATCTTCTTCATCCTCTTCTTCTTCTTCTTCTTCTTCTTCTTCTGCTTCTTCTTCTTCTTCTTCTGCTTCTTCATTGTCATCGTCATCGTCATCATCATCATCATCATCATCATCATTGGAATCTCAGAAAAGGGAATCAAGAGATTTGGAACTCTCAAAGTGTTTGAAGTGGCTGCAGAAAGACTGTCAATCTGTGCCTTCGTTCTTCGGAATTGGCAAGGTCCATACACTCTCACTGGTCTCCTGTTTCAGCATTGTGTGAGTAAAGTGTCTAAGTGTCCAAATCAATGACTCTATGTGGGCAAAACTCCTTATTCCAGTAGTACGTCTTGCCAGTCTCTTGATGCCTCACGATTCACAACTCAACTGCTTGCTATGGGGAAAGCAACCAAAGTGTCTCTGCAGCAAAGCTACTTCTCTGCAGCCCAGACCACCCTGGAAAGCAATGACTGGAGTTCAGCTTCACTAGCATATTCAACTCATGGCCTTACACCTGGAGGAGGATCCCAAAGAACGTCCTCTTTGGAAGCGTTCCAATAGTACCTGCAGTCTGCAAAGAGGCTAAGGTAGACAGGCAGGACTACTGTATACTGTAGACTGATAGGACCTCTTCTCACCAGTGCGAACCTCGACCTCGGCATGGTCTTTTTAAAGATACAACTGCTCAGAGTTCCAAATAGCAATGATCTCACCGGCGGCTTCTTAAGTGGCACACCCATAGATCCGTCATGAATCAGGCAAAAGCAGGCAGGAGTCAGGCCCTCTGCACTTTTTTATGTCAAGAAGTAGAGCTGTCTTCAGAGGTTGTTGCAAGTCTTCCTTATCTAGCCATGGACATGTCCATACCTCCCTCTTCATTACTTTGCGCTACTTTGTCACTTGAACCACTCAATGGAGAATTTCGGAAAAGGTGATAGATACACTCTACACTCTATATAATCAATCTGTGAATTGGTGCAACTGCGAGTGAACAATCCTCCCTTGTCATATTCAAGTCCAACTCAAGCAGCACGCAGCAAAGGCTTGGTACTCTTTTCTCCCACGGTCATAGGTGCAAGACTGGCTTCGGACAAGCATTCCGCACCTTTGCCGCACAATGACCCATACCACCATACCGCACCTTTTTCAACATCTGAAGTTAAAGATGTGTTCGAACGAATCATACCAATCATCCCTCACTCCCTCCTCTCATAGAACATTAAGCAAGTTTAATGGAGTTCAACCGGCTTTTGCAGCGATGGCAAAGACGGTTAAACCTTGTTCAACCTACCTGCACTTCAGCAGCCCGAGAAGGTCATCGAAAACTTCATCGTCTCTCGTTCGATTCCCTTCTATCACTGCATTGTTCAGTGAGCATCACTACTCTTCCTTGGACAACATAGGCTACGCAGACTATGCAGACTAACATTGGGCACAATGTCAATTCACAAGCCGGGGCAGTCCTGGTCGCACCCATCTAAAGCTGCGCATCCCAGTCCTTCAGGTCACCAAACTTGGGTCAACGCTGGAACCCCGCTACAAACTATTCAATGTGTGGAGGCCCTGGCAGTCGAAGTCGAATGTCTAGACAAGTCATACAAATCCCTGGGCTTGCAAGCGCTGAGTGCAGGGCATGATGGAGCCTAAGACATTTGATCGACATGAAGCAGCATACAAGTTCCTACCAGAGGCTAGCGCTTTGGACAAACTGCTTTGTGGGAGTGAATCTGGGACAAGCACCACACATTTCACCTCCCTGTCACCTGTCTAGGTGCCAAGCGGGACCTGGTGGCGGTGCCCCGACGGGGACCGGCGCCGCACCCGGAGGTGGTGCACCCGGAGGTGGTGCACCCGGAGGCGGCGCACCCGGAGGCGGTGCACCAGGAGGTGGCGCACCTTGAGCACAACTTCTGTACAGCAGTGAATCTCTGGCTGTACGTAGCAAGGCATCCTGATGTCTCCGCAGCACCAGCAATACTCACCATGCCGCAGAATGAAATCTAGATTTTCGCAATGGAGTTTGGGGAAGAGCTTGTCTGCACGTTGGACTACCTTCCTGCAAAATCTGTGTCACAAACAAATCCACGAGATTGCTTTGTCAGCTTCCAGCAGAACGCAACTTGCATGATGCTCTGACAGCGCAAGGACGTCTGTGCTACAGAGTAAATATGCTGTACATACAATGTAATTGCCATGTCTCAGGCCCCACGAGGCTGCGACTTTTGGGTGCACCTAGAAGCCCCTCTTCTAGACTGTGGGTGTTGGGTGTCACTTCTGGGCTAGTTGAAATTGAACATCAGGTCTTGTCGATTCCAGCGGTTCTCAGTGAGCACTTACTCAGTGGTAACAACGCAACAGGACAAAGCCGGGCAAAGAAGTCAACTGAGAGTCTAGCCAGCTTTCGGTGGCCCCTGGCAAGACTACAGCGCTTGCAATCAATTGATAGAGTGCAGAAAGTGGTTAACTCAGAAATGCTGGACACCTAGACGTTTCATGTACTTTGGTGTACTTTGGTGTACTTTGCATTCTGCAGGTGGTCTTTGGGGGAGTTTCTCTGTCTGGACAAAATGCGCAGCTTAGGATGTGGCTCTCCGTTCTGGACTCGGGGTGTAGCTGTAGCTGTAGGTGTACCTAGCATGTCAAAAGCAGACTTTCTGAGGTCAAGGTCAAGCTGAAGAAAGTTAAAATTGTCAATGGTATTAGCTGTAGCAGTTGCAACAGTGTCTTTGTCAAAGCTGTTTACAAGTGCCCGGTGAATTGCCCCAAAAGTTAGGACCATTGGGAGCACGAGCCATAGCTGCGACTTCTACTTCTACCTGGCAAACGAACGCTCTCTACCTGACAACACTTTCAGTTCCACAAACGCTCAGTTTGGCCTCTCTTGGGACCACCCTTGGCAGGGCCAGGCCTGATATGGCAGCACACCACAAGTCAATATGCAATCTGACAAGTATGGAGCAAGCAGGAAACCTCTCCATGGTTCTTCATGATCAAGATTTGTCATCGACATGCTCTGGGCGACTGATGCACATTGTTTTATGTTTCATTTTGTTGTTCTTCTTTGCGACTTGTGCGGTGTGTTAGAGCGATGTCTTGTGCCGCTGCCCTGCTGCCCTGCTCCCTGGGTCTGAGTACATATCAACACTGGTTTCGCTGGCTTCAGCGTTTGCCAGGTCAATGTTCTTCCATGTTTCCTACTTTTCTTCTGTACAGCTTTGATCTTTGATTATTGATTGTTTGGGAAGCTTTGACGAGCTAACAAGCTGGGAATTGCATTCAACACTGGTGGTTCATGAAGTCCATCACCACGTAACATGACTACCAAGTGCCAAACGAAATCCAGAACACGCAACAATAAATTTTGCCAGTCTTACAGCTGCCCACCAAAAGACTGAAGTCGGTAACAAACTCAAAAAGACCTTCGAGTTTCAAGACTTCAAGGACCACTGAGGCTCCTGCGGGCCGTACGGGTGGGCTTCTGGACCACCTGGTGGTGGCCTTGAAGAGGCCGAAGCCATAAAGGTTGATAGGTTGATAGAACATTATAGAACATAGAGATCAATTGAGATCAAAGAAATGTAGAGATCTACGATGTGACGGGGATTTGACATCTTTGCCGAACGATCTTGGCCTCCAGTGAGGAGGTGGATAGTGCGGTGGATACCCTGGAGGTGGACGTCCGTAGTATGGATCTGGTCCAGGCCTGGCTAACATTGATGCTGCATGAGTCATCAGCGACAAATGGAAACCGAGACCAGCTGAGCCCACTGCGGCCTTCCATAGAAATCCTTGCAGTTCTGCGGAGCCACAAATCAAATCAAGAACATACAGTACATTGCCATGAACGGTCCAATCAAAAAGCCAAGAATCATAGGGTGGATAGCCGGGTGGTGGATAACCAGGCGGCAAATGTGGCGGAGGCCTTATTTTAGACTTGAGCAAACTTGAAAGCAGCTGAGCTGATGACCATGGGCTGATGACGGTCCATAAGGTGCTCCGAATGCATCTGGAGGGCCACGCCTCAAACATCGATCTACTGTAATCGATAGACGTTTCTTCCCACTCCAATGCTGTTTGGTGACGGATAGTAGTCTGGTGGCGGCCGATGCGGATAGCCCGGAGGTGGACCCTGCCACACGGATGATTCACTGAGAAAGAAGGAGGGAAGCTCATCCTAGTTGCTGAGTCCTCGGCCAAGTGTGGTGGGGGGCCTGCGCCTGGAGGCGGATGCCTCAGAATTGTTTCCCAAGAACGAGCAAACAGCGTTGTATGTTAGTACCTCGCAACAGTTTCCATTCTTTTTGAGCAGGGCCAAACAAAGTTCGAGTCGCCCTCAGGGACTGACATGGGAGGTCGTCCTGGTGGAGGCCCACCCGGTCCAGGTGGGGGTGCTCCAGGACCAGGTGGTGGAGCTGAACCTTCGGGGCGGGGACCATCTGCAAACTGCCCGGGTGGTGCTTCACCAGGTGCTGGAGCTGGACCTTAGAGATCATGACATCGTGACACGTCCGTCATCCACAATGGATACACCACCACACACTGACACAGCTTTTCCTGTTCCACTCTTCGCCGCCTGCGCTCTTCACGTGTTCTCAGTTTGAGGAAGGTGCTTTCACCTTCTTTGCCCTGCGGGCCCGGTTGGGCTGCATCATCCGGCTTGGGCGGTGCAGCTTTTGCCCGCCTCGAGGATGATAGTTATGTGAGGTTGTGGTCCAACAGCCACACTCTGAGCCACCAACCCTCCTGGGAGTGGCGACCTGGTCCAGTGTCTACAAGTGACTTACAGGGTGATTGAAAAAAGAATGCTCATAAACGTCCTGTCAATGTGTTTCAGAGAGGGCCGGACCCTTCACTTAGTGGTGGCAATGCCTCCAGAAGAAACGGAGAAGGCTTGTGTTTTCTCAAATGCACCAAGTTTCTTTTCCATTCGTTGCCTGCCCACCACCGGGAGGAGCGCCGGGCGGCGCACCAAGTGGACCGCCAGGAGGACCGTGAGGAGGAAAGGCACCCTCAAGAACTTTGTTTTCTTCGAGTACTACAACAGGGCAGAAGCTGCAACTGTTTAAGCAACTGCTTAAGTAGCTGCTTGAAGCCTGCTGAATGGCTTCAATCAAGATGATGGATCTACAGTTCTGGACCAGTCACTTGTGATGTATAGAGCTGTCCCTACTCTACTTTGCCTCTCTCCCTCTCGGGCAATTCAGTGCACCAAGAGCAGCAGAACCACCTGAGTTCACTGCAGGTGGGGGTGGCATTCCAGGATGACCATGAGGCGGCCTCAATGACATAATGGCAAGCACTCGCAAGAAGCAACTCTTCTTCAAAATTCACCAAATCGCTTGCCGGGGATTCTCCCGAGGGCTTGCGTTTCTCCCAAGATTCTCTTCCAGAGTTGTGAGTCATAATTGGTTCTTTTGAGTCTGCAGTACTTGAACAGAAACAGGCCTGTGAATCTGGGTCCCCTACATAGGTGGGCGCATCATGTGTGGAGGGGGTGGTCCCATCGGATGCGGCGGCCTCAGGACACATTCGACAAAAGAACCAGGAAATTCTCCACACGAGAACCGCTTGCTAACTGGTAAGTTCAGCACATAAAGTGAGGTGGTGGCGGGCCGTGCCTTGTTGTGCAGAATCACAAGCAGCTCAGCAAACAGTGCAATTGACACGACCGATCTGTGTGTGTGTGTTTTTCTCGGGTTCTGAAAATAGCGCTCAAAAAAGCATCCGAGACACACGCCAGGTGATGGTAAAACAATTCTTGACGATGAGGTTACGCTTAAGGATATGTTTGGGAAAAGTTCAGTGCTGCGGTGCCGCATACTGTATTGCTTGGGGAGTGCAAGGACGTGAAACGGGAGAGGA